AAGCTGCTTATATTGGAGATTTAGTGGAGACGGGTCATTTTGACCCGGAGGACAAAGGGTGTATACAGAAAATGAGGACAACAGGAGGGTTAAATTGATCACAATGATTTAGTTCACTGTTTTATTCTGAAATATATACAATTGTGTACACATACTGTATGTTTCATGCTGCATGTTTCCATCTGCTTCCCAAACAGAATGGTACATTCTGACAGCATTTGTGTGTAAATAAATCATTATATTGATTATTATACCTGGGATTTCAACAAAATTATTCCACCCTATGGTTTCTTATTTTGAAAATACAGATGCTGTGCTTGTTCCTCTTCCTGTTGATGCGATGTGATCTCTGTAGGTTGACTCCGGAGCAGCTCTGGCRTCTGGYAAAAATAGGATCGGATCTAATTTCGGTAGAATCGTCTGGTGATGATCCTTWGGGAAGGGGTACTGTCAGAATCGGTCTGGTGTTCTTAGAGTTTATTATTTTTATCCCTTTGTTTCTTTATGATATTTTGTTTATGCTTTGCCTTATTTTCCAGAGTTTAGTTTTCTCTGTGTAGCTCTGCTCCTACCCAGCCCACCTGTACCTGGTTATCTCTCCTCAGGTGTTTATCATTCTGTTCATCAGCATTTCCCTTTAAATGTTTKTCGTCCCTGTGGATCTAGCAGTGGAGGATTCCTGCTTGCACTTGGGTTTCAATTGATACACTGCACATTGTGATAGTGGCTAAACAAATCTTTTTTTATTTTAATTTATACAATACTTTTCAAGTACATCAAGTGCTAACCCTCACAATGTTCTTTAACTTTATGACAGTGGTCCTTGGGGGAAATCTACCACTCTGCATAACTAGTCAATCTTTTAGACTTAATCTAACTTGACCTGAAATAAAAAGTCTAATTGAAATGTCTTTTTTAAACTTGTAGTGATTAGTACAACTACACTTCTTACTGTATAACCACTGTTATAAGGAAAATTCACAGGTTCTTCTGTTTAAGGAAATAAACACCTCTCTGTGTAAATATGAGGACACACAAATACGTCAGACTTTAGTCAGGGAATTCAAGTTGATCTGGCTGTAAACGAGATCATTTATTATAGAATCAAAACAAATCACTAATGTACAACTTATTGTGAACAATCAAATTTTGTTGAGAGTTAAATCATCAACAAAAACAGGTACGTGCCGCACTAATTAACTGTCGATATGACAACTCTAAACAGCAGAACTTCAGGTTTAAAGTCTTGAGCTGTGTCCAAAACGGCAGGACGGGTCCTCCGGAGGACCCAGACTCCC